AGGCGAGAGCGGTCCATGAGGGTCTATCCTTATATTATGTCTATGGTTTCAATGCTCAAACATTTACTTCCTGTCGCTGAGCAGCAGCCATATCAGGCCAGACCATCCCTGCGCCTCCTCGTGACCTGCCGTGTCGGCGCCCCCCGTAGGCCTGGAGGTTCTCTAACTCCTTTTCCTCTCCCTCTGCAGGCGTGGTTGTCGGGGAAGATGATTGGACGGCGGACTCCAGGAAGAAGAAGCCGGTGAAAGGCAGCAGTCGGCTGTTCATTGGCGCCGCCATCGATGGGAAGTCAGAGTACTTCCCCACGCTGTCCAGCAGGAAGCTGGTGGCCGACGAGGAGAACAACGACATGTTCTCGCTGGTCTACCAGGATGAATTTGTGTCGTCGCAGATCAAGATCCCGTCGGACACGCTGTCCACCTACCCGGCCTTCGACATCTACTATGTGTACGGCTTCTCCAGCCGGACCTACGTCTACTTCCTGACGCTGCAGCTGGACACGCAGCTGACCCAGATGGAGGCCGGCGGGGAGAAGTTCTTCACCTCCAAGATTGTGAGGATGTGCTCCAACGACACTGAGTTCTACTCGTACGTGGAGTTTCCTCTGGGCTGCACAAAGGACGGCGTTGAGTACCGGCTGGTCCAGGCCGCCTACAGGCAGAAGCCGGGCCGGCGGCTGGCCCAGGCGCTCGGCCTGGGTCCGGACGACGACGTCCTGTTTGTGGTCTTCTCACAGGTGAGCTCCCTGCGTCTCTTCCTGTGCTACCTGCCGCAGTGCAGCCGTGGAGCCGGCAACTCTGACCGGGCTGCTGTTTCTGTGTCCAGGGTCAGAAGAACCGCTCCAACCCACCCAGAGAGACGGTGCTGTGTCTGTTCACCCTGCATGACATCAACCTGGCCATGAGGGAGCGCATCAGCTCCTGTTACCGCGGAGAGGGACACCTCACGTTGCCGTGGTTACTCAACAAAGAGCTGCACTGCATCCACACTGTGAGTCGTCGGCAGAATGAGATCAAAAACGTCTTTTTCAGGCGAGACCTGGCGCCACGTCTGTGGCGCTGCGGTTTTCACAAAGTTCCCTTTTTGCATAACGTTGATGCTTTATGGGATGGTTTCCTGTTTTCCATCGTTTCTTGCCTGATGCAGCAACACGGCGCCTCCATCGTGCTGTGGCGTTCGTCTCACAGCTTCAGGGTCTGATGGTGGCGTTTTTCTGAGCTTGGAGTCCAATCAGATTTCCAGATTGTTCCGGATCCGCTCCGCAGGGTTCTGAACTCGGCCCCTTTGTAGGCGAGGAATGGAGAACGGAGCAGAAGGAAATGTGTCTCAGTGTGAGCTGCAGTGGGGTTATTTCAGGTCGGGGGTAGATGATGTTCGTATTCACGGCGGTAATGGCCTGCAGTCGTTGCCATGGCAACCAGGCAGGGAGACTCTGGCAGGAGCGGCGATCTGGGCCGGCCCGGTTCGGGGGTGCAATGGGGGAAGCAGAACCGGCCAATCAGCCTCACGCTGATGAAAGCCATAAAACATCAGAACCGGGTCTGAGCGCTGGGGGCGGGGCTTACGGCCCATCTGACCCGCTTCCTTTATCAGCAGCAGCAGGGAGGGTGTGTGTGTGTGTGTGTGTGTGTGTGAGAGAGACAGACCCATTCTTCACTAAGCGTCTGCAGCAAGCCACCGTCTGTCCTCGCTATGGAGGTGTGTGTCTGTGTGTGTGTTTTTTCCTCTGGTTGTGAGGACTTCCTGTCCGACGCCATCAGATCAGGACCAACTGCTGGCATTAAAGTTAAACTCCAGCTCATTTCTTCATGGTTCAAAGGTCGCCGTCAGCAGTTTTCTGAAAGGTTGTTGGATTTTTTTTGTCTCCTTTTAATTCATTTTCAGTCGGTTCTCTGAGAGGAGGGAAACCACGAGACGTCCAGGAAACATACGGTGATGATCATGTGAAGTCATAAGAGTTTCCAGCTCTTATTTAACGATATTAATCCGCTACAGCAGCTCAGAGAGCAGGTTGCAGGTTTATTGATGCTGAAGATAAACATTTCTTCAGCTAGTTAAAAAAATACACAAATACATATTTGTTATTGTCATGACGAGGCGGTTACACCTTAGTGCAGTGTTTCTCAACCTTTTTCGGGCCAGCGCCCCCCAGCCTTTATCCAGGTCCCTCACCGCCCCACCAAAGAAATTTGTAGG